TGCCACACTGACCTACTATTCAGCATTTGGCAAAGAGAAAGAGGAGAAGAGTGCAGAGGAGTAAAAAAAAAAGAAAGCGAACAAAACTTGTATGCAGCCGTCCAACCAGAGACAGGTAATCTCTTAATTGTTTTGAGAAAGCAAGCTTGAAGAGAACTGGCAACCAACCACTAAGAGACTAAGCTTGAACCAAACTGGGGAAATTATTGTGTCAAATCACATTAGCTCAACATACTGAAGTCGTTTACTTTGTATTTGAATTAATTTCCAATTAAGCTTTTGTCTCTCATCCTTGCTCCCTCACCTTTACAAAGCCGTATGTGTCATACAACCAGTCAAACACAAGCCTGTTGTGTAATTTTAATGTTAATTCTGATGCGTTATTCCTGTAAAACTAGAGACTTCTTCTGATTTAAGAACCGATCAGAATTTTCGACGCATAGTATAGTGCGAGAACGCACTTGGAAACAAAAACAGGAGTTCACATGTGGTGCCATTAAAAATTGAGTTTCGCACTGCTGTATCTGGTTTGTTTTACACAGGAGAACAACCAATGAAAGTTGACATCAGTAGAACGCTCTTCTCACATTCGTACGGGAAACAGGAATGTTTTTGTCAAATAGCTTCCTGTGATCAGCCACAAACAGAAAAAACCGCTCGACATCTGTTTCTTGATTTCTTCTCTGTCGTCGTCTTCTCCCCGTGCCACACAGGGAGCATCTGTTGTACCTCAAACGCCATCTTCAGGCAGGGAGCATCATTGCATCAATAATTAATAAATAATAACAACACAGATGAAAAGCACCCTGCTGAAAAGCCATCCGGAGATTTGAATTCAGATCTCTTTACTCTGCTTATCCAATTAACCCTTTATGACCTGCCATAGAACCAGGTCCGCCAGAGCATATTTTTACCTGCTGTGGTAGTATATTAATTTGCCATACAACAATATATCTGTTATATCCTAGGTTTTAATAATATTAATAGAGTTAGTTCAATATTAACTAAGAACGTGTCAAAACTACAAAAATACAAATAAAAAATTAAATAGTTTTTCTTTTAAATACAGACACGTCATAGCTTTATCCCTCAAAATTGCAAAGGTAAAAAAGTTGCACAAAATGCTTTGTGAATGTCACCACAGTGAATTTATTCTGAGTGAATTGCTCAGATTTATAAAGTAAGACAAAAACAAAAATATGTACATTTGCAGAAAACTTAGCATTAACATCAAAATAAACTATTTACAACTGTGCAATCAAACTGTAAATTAAAAAAAAATGTTTCACAGATACTTCTGACCGTAGATAGCTTTGTATTAAACAAAATGCATCAAAATACAGTGCATTAAATAACAAAAATGACATTTTTACTGTGGTGAAATTTCAGAACAGGAGAACACAACACACACAATCTGGAATAAATACATAATTATAAATATATAATAATATCAAATCTAAAACTAGCTCCTACACAAACTATTTGCAGTGGAACAGTATTGTACTGCACTGAAGAGCTGTGATTGGTGTTGTTTCAGTTCCTGTCCACAACAACACAGAGGCGCTTCACACGCCTCACACATGAAGGGAACTCCCTTTCCACACATTTTCTTCTCCCCTGTGAAGCTTCTTTGAGCCTGTTGCCCAGGGAAGTTATAGGATGTTTAGAAGAGATTTAGATTGAGCTCCTTCTGTTTATAATGCAAAAAGAATTATTGCTCAATCTCATGTGGTTATAATGTTTAAAAATTGATATGCAAATGAGATCACAGGTTTTCTTATTTTATCTGGTCTTTCTGATTGAACTCAGAGCTGACCACTTTGTCAGCGTACTCCTTAGAAGAGCTTTTCAGTCTAAAAATCACCATGTAGGACCTGAATGGGTGCCATTTCTGAAAGTGTGCTACAAATATTTGAGCCATAAGATTTTAAATATTCATAAAATCCACATAAAACACTGAAAAATAGCATTTATTGCTTGTCCCAAGTCTCTGATACTACACTGTGGTGGATAAGATGTTCTGTTCCTTCTGGAGAGACTAAGTCTTAGAGGGTTGTTCGTTCCCGAGAGGCTAAGTCCATCTTATAGAAAGTTCGCTGTTCTCTTCCTCAAAAGTCTTTTTGACTGGGATCCCAGTACAGCAATGAAAACATGGACACAGAGTTCACGTATTCACCAGAGCTACAGTTTTTTTAGTTTTCCTTGCCCTTGTGGATGTTGGGGGTGAGGGACATATATGGTGGGGTAGAAAGCATTGGTGCCAACCTTCTAAAATGGTAAACCTTCTTTGGTTTCAGCTCATCATTGGTTCCTCACCGCTGTTGAGGAAGCTTTGGGTGGTCAAAAGCGGCCATTTTGTATTCAGCTTTGAGGATCAGAGTAGATATTTGAGTGTAATTACCATATTTACTTTACCGGCCTTCACAGCGCTTCATCACAAAGTATAATGATTAAGATCTTTTAAAAAGAACCTTTCGAATGTAAATCCATATTTAATGTTTGTGTCATTCACATCTTCTCATCAGCGAGTTCTCTTTTGGGGTCACGGGGGTCTTCTGGTTCCACTCTCCAGCTCACTTTGGGTACAACCTGGACGCTCACACATGCACACCTGAGAGGAATTCACCAAACCCGACGGATGTTTTTGGGATTGTGGGGGAAGTACCCGGAAGAAGCCCTCGCAAGCACGGGGAGAACATATAAACTCCTTCCAGGAAGATCATCAGCAACGTTTTCTAACTGGAAGGCCACAGTGCTAGCCACTGCGCTGCCCTTATCTTTGTTTTTTTGCACCAATATCTATACTTTCATGCATAAAAATAAACATTTTAGTCATGTCCCCAGCTTTTTACTCATTCCTGTAACCCTAACCCATACCCTCTTGAAAAACTGGAGAATTGTCATTCTTTCAGCAAGAAGTTGCATCACTTGGATCTTTATAAGGACGTGGAAAAAGCAAAGTGTACTTCGCTCAATTTTTTATTTACATGTTTGATGATATCTTGGAGCATCAATTTAAAATACTATCCTATTACTCAAATTATTTCAGAGATTTGATTAGTTTAGTGTAAAAATGCACAAATTTGGTGAATAAGTGAATTTTCAGAATTTCCCAATCTTGCGCACCATGTGACTATTTAGCATATATTTGCTAAAAACTCACTTTCAGTGTTGTTACTTATATAAAGAATAACAAGTGGTTTAGTAACAAGAAAAAACAGCAGCCATCTTCTGATTATAAATATAACAAGACATTTAAAGATGTTACTTAAAATGGACCAGTACCCATTTGGAAAACTTAAGTATATATTCAACTGGAATCTGTTTTACATTGAAGGATAATTTAGGGATCTCTCCACAGTTTCATTTTGTCTAACCATGTGGTGTTTTGTGTTGTGATCATTTGAGTATTAAGTGTAATATTAAACTGAGAGAATAATTGTGTATTTCTTTTATTACTTGAAATTAATCAGTAAGATGCTTTTATAGACCTGTGTTATCATCTCGAGTGACAATCCACCAATCCAGGAGATGAACGATTCACGTCGGACATGTGGGTCACCCAAAAGTCCAGAGGCAAATGGAACTACGCCCCAGATAATTTGCATTTCTAAGAACATATATAAGACATTGTCACAAGGGAGAGCACGTGAGCTAACGCATGACGACGGGGGTTTAACGCTGCTTTGCTGTTGTGTAATGCAGGTAGAACACCCAGATATATCTGTAATGTGTTATAAATTCTTAGTAAATATTTGGACTTCAAGCCCTCTCCTGTCTTCTCTGGAATAAATTAATAGATATTCTCTTTAAAATCAAGTAACAAATACATTTTGAAAAATAGATGGCAACTGTTTGGTGGAATGGCTCACAAATGTCTTAGATTAGCACTCTATTTATAAAAATATATATACCGGTAACTATTGTGTATACATACCTCTATATTACTTTAATGCCTTAAAAAAATTAAGGAAAAAATAATTTATAACCCTGGAAATTTCTAGTGTTTACCCACAGTCAAAGAAGTTATCCATTCACAATTTGAATGTTTAACAGTGAGAGAAAATAACTAAATAAAATGCTGGAATTATTTAAAAATAAAGTTATAGACTGCAACTCAGGCACCTTTGCTGACTTCACAACCCAATCACAATTACCCAATAGTAGTATGTTTGCAAGGCGCATTACGCCCAACTTGAGGCTACAAACCCTTTATCAGTCACAGACTCTCCGCACATTTGCATAACACAAAACTACAGAAATTAATCAAAATGTATGGAAAAAAATGCCATATTATTGCAAAAGACATGAACCTTGACTCCAGATTTAAGTGATCGTTCTATTTCCCTTGAGCTGTCATCATCAAAATGACAAGACTCATTACGGATACGCTAACATCCAAATGTAGTCAAAACAAAAACAGAAACGGCTGGTTTCCTAAATTTCCAGACAGTTCCGGATGGCTGTAAGTCACAACATTCCTACTCTTATAGGTGACATTAATCATTTCAAAGGGTGGGGAACTGAGATTATTAACCCCTGAGATTTACAGTATGTCATAAAAGTGAGTGCACCCATCACATTTCTGCAAATGTTTATTTATATCTTTTCATGGGACACCGCACGCTGCTCTGCACATCAACAATTTGCTGCAGACATGCAAACTAAGGACCAAGATTACTGGAACTGTGGTCTGATCAGACCAAGAGAAACAACTTTGGTCCAGATGGTGGCAAGCGTGTGTGGCAGGAGTACAAAGACAAGTGTGACTTGTCTACTCAACTATAGTGGTGGGAGTGTCATGATCTGGGGCTGCGTGAGTGTTGCTGGGATTGGGGTACTACACTTTAATGGGGGAAACATGAATTCTAACATTTGCTGTGACATACTGAAGCAGAGCAGTGTTCCAGCACGACAACGACATTAGCATTTTTGCATTTGGCAGACGCTTTTATCCAAAGAGACTTTCCGGTACATTTGAACATATTTTTGTGAGTTCTTGCTTTCCCTGGGATTGAACCCACAACCTTTGCATTGTTGGCGCAACCCTCTACCAACTGAGCCACAGGAGGGCCGACCCCAAACAGTCGTCCAAGGTGATGACTGGCTTGCTAAAGAGGGTAATTGAGATTCGCACAAACTTCGGTCTTCTTCTCCGGAAAGATCTCCCTGTTTGTAGATGCCGTTTGCGGTACAACAGATGCTCACCCCGCCAAACAGGGAAACGGGGTAGAAGAACAAAAAGAAGAAGATGACGACAGACAAGAAATCAAAGAACACAGGAAAAAAAATCAGCGGTTTATTCTGTTGGTGACTGATCACAAGAAGCAAATTGGCAAAAAGTGAGGATTTGTGGCGCGCCTTTTCTGTTCCGTTTCTATGCGGGATGAGTGCCACCGAGTGGCTCTTTTACATCATATGCACATCGTCAAACAAGCCAGCTTTATTGGTTGTTCTTTTTGCGAAAAACCGATCGATATGTCACTCTGTAACTCTTTTTCCATTGCCACCACTCGTTCGGTCCAATTTGTGATGTCCTGTTGGCACCTGGGGTTTAATATCGAGGCGCGTTGAGTTGAATTTGAGTTGATGTAGAGGCCTTAAAGGTGATGGACAGGCCAAGCATGTCTCCAGACCGATAGAACACCTCTGGGTCATTCTGACAAGGAAGGTGGAGGAGCACAAGGTGTCCACCAACTCAGTGATGTTGTGATAGAGGACTGGAAGACAATTCCAGTGGCAATTTGCGAAGCTTTGGTAAACACTGCCCAAGAGAATTAAAGCTGTATTGGAAAATGGTGACGGCCACACAAACTATTCACATTCCACACTTTCACTTAAGGGCGTACTCACTTTTGTTGCCAGGGGTTCACTTTTTATTGGCTGTATTTATTTATAAATGTACACTGTTATACAAACTTACTTGTGTCAAAGAGTCATATCTCTAGGGTTGTCCTATGAAAAATATCTAAATAAACACTCACTTTTGTGACATTCTGTATACATTTGGCCTCATAGAAGCAACCATCTCATTCTGATAGACCTTTAATGCACCACATGAGCCAGTGGAAAATGCTTTATGAAGACATAATTATATATGGCTATGCACACTAAACGTCACTCAGCACCGAAGGTGACATCAACTCAAAGGGTTTGTCCCAAACCCCAAGGGAAAACTAGTTGAACCAGCCGCATAGCTTGTAGAGAATGTCTCTGTGGTGCTATTGAGACAGCAGAACCGGATTAACTCGTTTTTCACCTGATCTAGAACAGCTGAGAGCCTGAAAACACACTGATCAAAAGGGCCTGTGAAATGACCCCAACTCTCATCCAAAGCTAAAACCAGTCAAGGGTAAACGATGCCTTGTATTGCTCAGGGATCTTTGAGAGAATGGTGTCTGTTTTCATCATAACAAGAGGAAACGGTCTCAATTTGCCACACGAATGGACACTTATTCAAAGCAGAACCCAACCCATGCTTATGGGCATGAGCACGGAAGCTAATTTCACATGCATCTACCTGCATCCATCTGTGTGTTTGCGGTAACCATAGACACTTTTGTGTTTAACTCACTGCCAAGTGCATAAAGCCAGGCTGGGTTGAGATAAACGTGTTTGACTACAACACTGCTCTATTTTGACAGAGCTGAAATGCCAAGATGGGTTGATAACAGCTGAGTTCAACTTGTTCATGAGGGCATGGAGAGAGAACGCCTAAGCGAACAAGAGAGGGATGGGAAACAATGGCAGAACCTGACACCCAGTGAGGCGGTTGTCTAGTAGATTAGCCACTGCACTTGTCCATTACACAACATGGCTGTAGAACACAAACATGTGCCTCCATTCAATTTCAGATAATACTTTTGTGCCAGGGTCTAGGGGAAACAAACTCTCAGATATGAGAGAAAAGTCGAAACAAGAGCTTAATAAACATTCAAACCTATTGTCCAACTATTTTAGTGGTTTTAAAATGAGAACAAATCTGTCAGGTTGGGTAAAGATGTATATTTAAATGTATTTTACTGTTAAATGCACGTTTGTTTGAATTAAATCTAAAGTGAATGTATGTTTTAATAACGTGGCAGCACAGTTGAGGACAATACTACCCAGACAGTGTGCTGGAGTACAGTACAGCAGGGCTGTGATGATGCTAGATAACCGTTTCCAAAACAAGACTCCAATCCCTTGGGTTTGTATGCGATGCGTGAGTGTGTTTAATGGGATATAAGTTCACTTACCATTATAAGTGATCCCTGGGAATAATCCCTTTTGATAACAAACTGCGCGCTTTAAAATAAAGTTCTTTAAATCCTTTTGGTGCTGCGGTGTTCTCTCTGGATCTCCTCAGCCCCGCTGTCGTAGCTCCATACTAGCGCAGACCGCACCGGTGAACCTCCCGAGCGCATTGAGCGACCCCGCTCCGCTGCCAGACACCGCACTGACTGAGCGCACTCTGCTCCGCAGCGCAGAGTTCAACTTTGTGGTTGTTGGATGACGGAATAAAAGAGGCAAACAACCCATAAATGGAGAATTTCGTACGTCGCGTTCGGCCAATAGGAGCGAAGAACGGCGCGTCAGTCCAAAGGGAATCCCAGCTGATGAGTTTCTGGTGCGTTCATGCGCGTCCTGGATGCGCAAAGGTGTTCCATGCGCAAACACTGAAAGCGTCAAGAATGGGAAGTGTATTACCTCTCTTGTTTTTGCTCAGAATTTAAATACTCTGTTTGTTATTGTTGCTTCGCTCTTTTGTGGTCAGTTGCTTTCACGCCAGAACTGGTGAAATGTACGTTTGATTGAGGTTTGAAAAGCTAATGTTGAAAAACGGCACTGTAGCGCCACCTAGCGCGTGTCAGCTTATGGTGCGCCAGCAGTTTGTCGTGAAAATCGGTTTTTCTCAATTGTTTCACACAAATTCTGATTCTTGACACACAATTACCAAAACATACAAATTACTTCCCAAATCCCTGAACCAATTCTACAAAATTACAAACACAATATCTGCCTTACACTCAAATTGCAGTTCTAAAACACACTTTTTTCAAAACAGTACACACAATTCTCTGCTTTTGGAACAGTTTTCATGCAGAACATATCTTGTTTTCACAAGGAACACTCTGTCGTTAAAATATGCAGACTGACCCATCATCACGAGCGCAAACACCCATCTGATTACATTTAGCAGTCAGAGTTTTAGCATAAAAGGGCAACAGATGAGGCTCCCCGGTGACCTTCCTGGAAGGAGTTTGCATGTTCCCCCTGTGCTCGCGTGGGTTTCCTCCGGGTACTCCGCGTCAGGTTAATTGAATAATCTAAATTGTGTGAATGTGTGTTGTCCTGCGATGGACTGGCACCGTCCAGGGTGTACCCCTGCCTCTTGCCCAATGTGAGCTGGAGAGAGCCAACAGCAGACCCTTGTGACCCCGAAAGGGAATAAAGTGGACTGGAAAATTAAAGAATGAAAGACTCCAGAGGATGACGCTCTGACGTGACTGGCTGAAAGAACTGTCAATCATCTGCCCCTCAAGAAATCACACCCTTAAATTCTACACAACTTTAAGGCTTGATAAATATTAAACCAACAATCACCCCCTCAGAGTGTTCATGGTCAAATCTGGAGATCTAAATCAACAAAACTAGTGGAGCCAGTGATGGAAATATGACTGTTAAATCGTTGAGAAATATTGTAAAGCTTAAATAAGTTAAACGTTTTATCAGCCTTCTTATTACTACAGGATAAGGTTCAAGAGAAAAAGCAGGAGGTTGGCTCTCGGTGCGAGGACATCTGATCTAGAAAAATGGGTAGACCTCCAGATCTTCACACTTCACCTCAATAATGCAGTTTTTGCACACAAATTCATATTCCTGTGTAATTATTATGTACAGTGTCTACCTCAAAGGCTCTTTTGCACAATATCCATATTTATACATCTTATACTCATATTCACATACGTTGTATGTACAGTTGTATACATTGTATTTTATTTTAAATTCTTAATTGTACATTTTGTAATAATATTGATTGTATGTCCCTTGGGCTCTAAGAGAAATGTAATATCGATTTTCTGTACGTCCAGTACATGTTGCAAAATTGACAATAAAGGTGACTTGACTTGACTTGATCTGGTCGCAGCGACATCTACTGGCCATGTGAGACGCACTTGATTCGGAGTGATCGTGAATGTTCGACTCTTAATCCGGCAGGTGGCGCCAGATGTCTATTAATTCTTCCAGGGACACCTACATACGGAATAGATCATTAACGGAAGTTAGCTATACAGTATTTGACAAAAAATGCAATCATAAGTAATTACATATAAATTGTTTACATAATACAATTATTACAGTTTTTATTACCCCCACACACACACACACACACACACTTTTTCCGTCTTCTATAACTTCATAAACAATGCACGCAGGTCAAAATTTAAAAACCGAGACCGAGTGGACCACGGATCTTCTCGCCGTATCTCACAAGCTCCGTCCACGCCCCCGCGCTCTCTGGTCCGGAGCCCAAGCCCGCGGCTGCACCTCCCCATTCCTCCAATAATAAACATGGCCGAACCGAAAGCGGTCTGAACCGACTGCAGCACCCAGCACGGGACTCACACACAGTCTCCAACTGTTGACTCGGGAAAGAAGACCCAACACAACCCGGCGTTTACACCGGTAAACTTGATGAGGAAAACTTGGGAAGATCCTTCCGCTGACGGACGCTCCATTCGCTAAACGCTGCTTTGCGTCTATGGAAATGAACGTTATTCTCGTAAACACCTCTTCAAAATAACAAACCCTGGATTTGGCTCAATGAAGTAACCCAAAAACATTTATTTCAAATTTGAAGCTGATCTCGAATGGATTTACTGTTTCAAATCGAGCTAAATCTTCTCATTTAAACGATGTTCTCCAGTAAACAAACGAAGGCGACTTTTAAGTCTTATCTTCCTCCACTTCAGGTGAGTTCTAGATTAGCATGCTAACAACTAGCAGCTACAGATAAACTTTAACGCACTGGCTTTAAGTTTGCTTTACGTTGGGCATTTGATGTTCACATATTTAGGGACTGTCTCAAAA